AAGGGGAAGGGGGGGGGGGGGGGGGGGGGGGGGGGGGGGGGGGCTGGTGATTTAAGATTGCCTACAGAAACTCAGAATAATTCAGTTCAAAATACATGTCAACTCGACATCAATAAGCTCAATACGACTACATGTTCATGAGTGGAGAAGTTAGCACCAGACAAGTCGTCAATGACCATACAACACATGTATAAGAGATAAAGAGACAGAATTTGACAACCCTAATAAACGAACATTTATTAGTAGTAAATGACTCACATAATTCATCTAAGGCATAATAGGTGCAAGAAAGTGTCAGGGATGACAGACCTAACAAGAGGACAAACAAGAAAGGGAGTACAGAATGAGCTAAGAAAAGAGCCACCACAAAACTCTAACGACGGGATGTATAAATAGCAAACGATGTCACTATATAAAGATTTGTGAAAAAGAGATCTCCCACCAGCAAAAACCTAGGAAACATTATGTAAAAGTTTCTAGCCAAACCTCTTGTAATATAAATCTTCTTCTCCAAATAATATAATTCTTAAGGAGCAAGAGTCTCTATTACAATGGATGTAATTTTAGTCTTTGGCCTAAGATGAATCATTTATATTATTGTCTTTATCTCACCTTCAACACCTAGTACGCTTTCAGTCACTTAGGCACTATCTCATTCCCTCTAGGCCACACCCAAGAATGTAGTGTAATTAGATAAGTTGATTTTGAGTACCATCAATATGCATTTGATTTTTAACTTTTAAGTTTCATTTGAATTATGTAGTATTTTCCATGGTTTCTACCCGGTACAATTCTCATGCACAATATGAAGGGTATCAAAAAAGAAGTTCATCATATGTAGAGCTTCTACCACCACTTAGGATAGCTAAGTAAAGCTTCCATCCATTGTGGAAAATTCTTCCTTCTTGTGTCCTATGGAGAGTAGGTTGTTTCTGATTCTCAGTGCGATGGATTATTCTATCAGACTAGCTTTTGATCATTGCTAAACTAGTGAATTACCAACTAGCTAATCACTAATCCCGTGAATTTCTAACTTGCCTGAACAAGGACTTGAATTACCAGTCATCCTTTACTATTTGGCTCGGAAGATCAATACAAAATGGAAAAAGAAAAACAAACCATGTTGGGACAGTGATCTATACATCTCCTCATGAGAAACTATGGCATGTAACAATCAATCCTTCCTTGCAAGCTAATCCCCAGACCCAACCTTACTCAAATAGGGGGTGAAATTTCATCTTCGCTAACATTTTCCACCCAGATGAGGTCGTCTTCATTCTTTTTATTGGCCTCGCATCAAGGGGGATACAATTGACTATCTTGAACTGATATGGTAGCAATGGAAGTCCCAACTGTATTTTTGTATCAGAACGGCTAAGGCAAGAAAAAACAAAAACAGATGCATATAATTTTGTTAAGTCTCCCTCTTCCTCCTTTCTGATTCTTTCCAGAGAAAAGAATCGTGCCTCGCTGGCCAATGAGAGGAAATAGAAGAACTAACAGAGGATCAATAGGACAAGTATACCTGATAGGCTCAGTACTTCAACAAACTTGTGTACAACACCACAACTATATTCAAGCCAAAGTGCACAATGCATAGGAGCAACTTCTCTCGATGTTTAGCAATCTAATTTATATAAAAGTAGTGAATTGTATAGACAAAATGTGTACAAGAAAATTAGTAGTTTCGAGCTTGATATGGTATTTTCATTCGGTGGTAAATCATAGAGCAGGTGCAGGAGAAGGCTAAGAAAAATAACTCTGGCGCATAATGGTAGCACATCTACAAATTCAAATCCTCAAGAAGGGAACTCCAGCCACCCAACTTCCCAGAAGAGCCTTTCTTCTCAAGTCCTTTCGCCATCGTGCCATTGCCAGTTTTCTGCCATTATAGTGCAGTAAGCCGTCAGAATAGCAAAATAATACAGAGGTACTTGCCACCACAAGTATGGCCATAAGGCCCAAAACACACTTAACTGATGTGGACACCAGAATTTCAAGGAGTACAAAGAAGTGTAAACAAGTGCATAGGCAGAAAACAGTGAAGATAACAAATGAATTACATAACATATTCCTATGGAAGGTTTAGAAATGATGGTGGAAATGAACTAAGAAACTGAGGTGAACGGTAAATTTGGGTAACCTCGAGTGAACATAGAATATTGTATTTGAAAAGAAAACATCAGGGTAACCCAATGTATGATAATGAAGTGGAAATCAGGTGCATTGAAACCTAAAAGGATCTACCCTGCACTGTCCAGAACAACAAAAAGTGGTTCAAAAGCAGGAAAGAAAAAAACCATGCTACATTACTGAAGTAAATAATTACACACAGTGGCCTGATTAACATGGTAAGGTAAGGCTATGATACTGGAAAGTTATTTTTGGGTACCGTACCTAAGTTACCACAAAGGATGGGTGAGGTTATAACTTAATCTGGTGAAACTAGAACAAAATGGGGTTGTTTGGGATTATTCTCCTACCTTGACACCATTTAGTTGTAGCTTGACTCAAAAAAGTTGTAATTTTTGGTTGGACACCTCCTTCGGTACCATGGTGTTACCCAACTTTGTTGTAGAGGTCATACCTTCATTGTCTAAGATGACTGTTACTTAAAGCTGCTATTGTCTATTTCATATGATAGTGGCCTTGAATACGTAAAAAAACATAAAAAAGGTAAACCCAACAGACCTTGAGGCACAAGTTTCTTCTAGTATCACAAATTGGATAGTCATGAGGGCAACAGTGGCGATGGTCCTTACAACATACAGCCAAATCCAGCTCACAGCATTTCCATGAAAAGCATATCCCAAGAAGGCGCCATGAACAACAGCAAGTTTCACCTCCTGAACAGGAGGTAAGAAGATCACATTTAATAGGACCTGGGGAAGGAGGGGTTGGCGGATTTGGGCTAGTTTTAGTTGGATACGAAGCGAGCATGTTGATACCGCATACCCCTTCCGAATTGCCACTGCTACGTAGCATGTGAATATAACCACTCATTCCCCAACTTGTTCCCCATGAATTTTTTACAATCCAATAATCAACTCCATTTTCCGAACTATAACCCACAATCAATACAGCATGATCCAGAGAAGTTGAACATGGTCCAGTGAATATCCCCTGTTACAAGAATCTTCTAAACAATCAGAAAAATCATATTCCTTCAGTTTTTTAACAAAGGGTGATGATATTGAAGTTGATTACCAGGACCAACCTCAGAATACAACTGAAATGCTCTCTCACTGCCACATATACCAACACTCACAGGCTGAGAAGCAACAACTTGTAATAGCTGTTTCTCATTTTTTGGGTGCACATCGGTGTAACCATCAATGGTTACAACACTTCTCTTCAGCTGCCATTCAATAGATAGGATTTCATAAAGCAACAATATGCTAATAAAATTACGAATTATTATAGTTCTTTAAGTCGAAAGAGTTGAAAGACAATGAGAATGGAAGTGACCAAACGGAAGTGGAGGAAAGTATATGGAGAAATAATGAAAAACATAAACAAATGAGAAAAAAAAAATAAATAAATAAATAAAACCTTATTTTTGTTGCATGACCGTTCTCCACCTTGATAGGGATAATCCTCCTCACTGTCAATCCCATGATTTTTCATGACAAATTCATAAGCATAATCCATGAGTCCACCCTCACAGCCACTATTGTAAGTTCTGTCACAGTCGACTAACTCCTGTTCAGACAGGCTGATGAGAGATTGGCTGACAATTTGATTTATGCCTTCCATTGCACCAGTTGCCGCGAACGACCAACATGCACCTGGACAGAAAACACTAGGAAACGTGTCTTTGAATTCCTCCAAACAGTAGCCGGAGTAATTTGACTATTATATTGGTTGGTTTTGCAACAGATCCATATGGCACTACGAAAATGAAGTAAACCAGAACCATATTGATTTGTGCAACCAAAAGTTATAACACCCACTCCACTAAACAAGCAATTTACACTATATAACTAGTCCATAATGATAATTTTCATAAAACGAAACCAAGGGTGTATTAAGTACCATAACAGTTGGTCCCTAAAGCAAATTTTGTACCCTCGGAGCAATCTCTCAGTGGAGGAGATTTGCTGCACGTCTGTCTAACCTCCAGAAGTATCAGCTCAATCACATCAGTTCTTCAAAACATGCATGCAAGTAACATAACACCCAAAAAATTATCCAATAGACCACCTGGCTTGAAGATAGCATCAGAATGAAATAAGAAATGGATAAAATGTTCTGAAGTTCTACTTACAAAGAATCCTTGAAAGGCCATGTTGCAAAAGGCATTAACATTGTGGTACAATTTAGTAACTGTCCCTTAACATTTTATTACTTTTTTATAAAATGGTCAAATGAACAAAACATCTATTATTAACTGAGACAAAGAATACAAATTATGTGCAAAAGGATGATTAAGGTGACTCAAAAAATAACTATGGATATGGGTTCCTTGCACGATTATGAAACCTGATCCTGCACTATTTGAAATTGAAGGAAAGCATAAAAAGAATAGAGTTTCGTCGTGATACATTTGTTAAGTGTGGAGAATTAACACAATATTAGAGAGAATAGAGAGAGGTTAAAAACTTAACCTACCTCTCATACATCACTTGTATTTATAGTTAACCTACAATAATAAGAATTACACATACACCCTCTTATTATTAACAATTTACATATACTACCCTACTATTCTTAACACTCTCTCTCAAGCTGGACTATATATATCATATAATCCAAATTTGGAACAAATAGCTGTAAGACGTGTACGACTCAATGCTTTGGTAAGCTTATCTGCAAGCTGATCTTCAGATTTCACAAATGAAGTTGTAATCTTCCCAACTACTATCTTGTCCCGAATAAAGTAACAATCAACTTGAATATGCTTGGTTCTCTCGTGAAACACAGGATTGACAGCTATATGGATAGCTGTCTGGTTGTCACAGAACAACTGTAAAGGAAGTTGAACTGGAAACCAATTTTCTGGAGGAAGTGTAGTAGTCAAGTCAACTCACTTGTCGTATTTGTCATTGCCCTATACTCAGCTTCAGCACTGGATCTTACTACAATGGGTTGTTTCTTACTATTCCATGAGACAATATTATCTCTTAAGAAAATACAATAACCAGTGGTTGATCTCCGATCAGAAGGAGAGCCAACCCAATCAGCATCTAAGAAACCTTCCACTCTAAGATGTCTATTAGCTTAATATAACAGTCCAAATCCAGGAGCTCGTTTGAAATATCGCAGAATACGAGTAATTGCCTCCCAATGTGGTATTTTAAGACATCCCATGAACTGACTTACTATACTAACTGCATAGGAAATATCCGATTGAATAATAGTGAGATAATTAAGCTTCCCAACCAATGTGCAGTATCGACACAGATTCTCAAACAATGCACCATCATCCATTAATAATTTCTGATTCGGATCTATAAGAACATTAATCGGTCTACCACCCAGCAAACCTGCTTCCTCAAGCATGTCAAGTACATATTTTCTCTGGGATAAACAAATACCCTGTTTAGATCGAGCCACCTCAATACCCAAGAAGTACATGAATTTTTCCAAATCCTTAGTATGAAATCCATCCTGTAAGAATATTTTTAACTTAGCAATCCCCTCAGAATCATTTTCAATAATTACAATATCATCTACATAGACCACCAATAGGACATATCCAGCATCTATCTGTCTATGAAACACAGAATGATCTATTTGATATCGAAGAAGATCAAACTCTAAAACTGTATCTGAAAAATTACCAAACCATGCCCTCGATGACTGCTTTAAACCATACAAAGATTTCTTTTACCGACATACACTCTTACCATACTCCCCCTGAGCAGTAAACCCAGGTGGCTGCTCCATGTATACTTCTTCAACCAAGTCACCATGTAGAAAGGTATTCTTGACGTCTAACTGAAACAAGGACCAATTAAGATTAGCAGCCAAAGAAATTAAGATACAAACAAATAAAATTTTAAAAATAGGAGAAAAAGTCTTCTCAAAATCAACACCATAAGCCTGAGTAAAGCCTTTTGCAACAAGCCGAACTTTGAGACGCTCCACAGAACCATTTGGATGAAATTTAACAGTATACACCCAACGACAGCCAACGGTTCATTTACAAGAGGATAAAGGAACGAGATCCCAAGTCCCAGTATGATGTAAAGCATCCATCTCCTCCTCCATAGCTTTCTTCCAACGCGGATTAGATAATGCATGCTGTAAATGCTTAGGAATAGATATAGTAGATAATTGGAAAGTAAAAACAGGAGAAGACAGGAGACAAGACATTATATGAAACAAAATAAAAAATGGGATGATTAGTAACACACGAATGAGTACCTTTGCGAAGAGCAATAGGTAAAGAGTTTAGAAGGCGGTAAGGAAGACGGTACGGACACCTCAATCGATGGGCGAAAACGGCGAGAGTAGACACGGAAAGGTAAAGTAGACGGTAACACAGTGGGCAACGGAATATTTGAAGATGAGGAAAGAGACGGTGGTATAGGAGATGATCCAAAGGCTGAAAAAGTGTTGAAAAGTATGGAAGAGATTCTTCAAACTTTACATCAACACTAGTAAAGTATCGGTGCAGAGAAGGACTGTAGCAACGATACCCCTTCTGCGTGCAGGAGTAACCAAGAAATATATATTTGGTAGCTCGAGAGTCAAGTTTGTCAAACCCAGGACCCAAATTGTAAATATAACAGACACAACTAAAAATCTTAGGAGTCAGGAAAAATAAGGGCTTACCAGAAAAAAAGACATAATATAGATTTTGCCCATTTAACACAGAGGATGGCATACAATTAATAAGATGACAAACAGTAAGAACAATATCACTCCAATAATATCGAAAAATATTCATCTGGAATAACAGGGCATGAGTGACTTCCAACAAATGACGATTCTTGCGTTCAGCAACACCATTTTGTGGAGAGGTATAAGCACAAGAAGTCTGATGAATAATATCAGTTTTACTGAAATAAGCTGAAAAATGATCAAATTCATATTCCCGAGCATTATTGGAACGTAAAGTATCTATACGACAACCAAACTGAGTTTTTTATTTCCTTATGAAAAGTCTCAAATACAGAGAATAATTCAGACCGAGCTTTCATCAAAAACAACTAAGTCACACGAGAATAGTCATCCATAAATGTCACAAAATAAGGATATTTATTAGATAAAATATTCTTTATTGGACCCCATACATCAAAATGGACTAATTCAAATAGACTAGACACACGATTATTGACTCTAGACTAAAATGACACACAGTGATGCTTACTGAGTTGACAAGCTTCACAAGACAAAGACGACACATAACTAAGACCTTGAACTTAGCGCTTCAGATTCTGGAGAGAGGAATATCTAAGACGATAATGCCATTGAAAAAGAGATAACAAGGTCTGTAGAGCCCTGGTAGGTGAATCAAAGTCAAGGTAATATAGGCCACTAGCTTTATGCCTCGTACCAATCTTTTTCTTCATCTTGAGATCCTGAAAGACATAATAAGAGGGATAAAAGGTTACAGAACAATTGAGAGAACGGATAATCTTGCTAATGGAAAAAGGAAACTGAGGAACAAATAACAGGGAAGATAGGGACATATCAGGACTCAAGTGAGTAGTTCCCAAACCTGAAACTTTAGAACAAGTACCATTAACAAGAATAACACTACGTGTGGAAGTAGCAGATTGATAAGTAGAAAATACATCAGACGTACCGGTCATGTGGTCAGAGACGCCAGAGTCTATGATCCAAGGTCTGCGAGTGGAGGACAATAAACAGGTGGAAGCAGTACCTGGTTGGACAAAAGTAACAATGAAGGGAGATGGAACAGCCTGTTGCTGGGACAGGAACTGAGCATACTCTTCTCGTGTAATAGTAACTGATCCAGTGTCTGATAGAGTTGACCGAGGTATAGAAGCTGCAACAGAGGTGTCATCCTAATAAGAAACCTGATTCGCAGTACCAGAAGATTTTCCATGTAAGTTCCAACAGAAATCAACAATATGTCCTCCACGACCACAGTGAGTACAGGAACGTGGTCCACTATGGCCCCCACAACCACCCGTACGACCTCCTCGACCACCACGATCACCTCGATGACCATCATTATAGCTACTAGGAACCACAAGAGCTGAACAATCAGTAGAAACACCATGATTGATACTTGAAGTAACAAAGTAGCACGCTATATGCAAGACAAAACCTCAAGTAATGAGGGAAGAGTAGATCCACCCAAAATCTGAGAACGAATACCCTCATATTCAGGTTTCAAACCTACCAAAAACCTAACAACATTCATGTCTTCATGTTGCTTCTACCAAACTGCTGCATTAGTAGTAAATGGATGGTAGGTCTTCACCTCCTCACAGACTCCCCTAACGTGAGAGTAATAATCCTCAATGCTCAGAGTACTCTGTTCCAGCCGGAAATACTTCTTGCATACCTCATAAGCTCGGGTCAAATTGCTTGTACCAGAATACATAGTGGCCAAGTGATCCCATATTTCCTTGGCAGTGTCAAGGTAAAGTAGAGTAGAACTAATGCTAGGCTCAATGCTATTCAATAGTAAAGAAATAATTTGAGCATCCTCTTGTTCCCACTGATCATACCTAGGAGTGTCTTCCTTGGGATTCACCAAATATTTCTTAAATCCTTTGTCACGAAGAAAAACTTGAACAGATTAGGACCATAAAGTGTAATTAGTCTCATTAAGTTTGACAGAGGTCATAGGACTATTAATAAGAATCGGAGGAGGCAAAGATGAAGTAAGGGCCCTGGTATCTTGCTTAGGTTCCATAATAGTGTAACAAATAGCAAACAAGAAGTGAATCGGACTACTTGAATGCTGAAGTAAAGTAAAAGGGACTGCTGGAATACTGAACTAGAGGAAAATGGACTGTTGGAATGTTGAACCGGACGGCCTAAGCCCTCTGAACCACTGAACCGGGCTAGAAAAACAGGTTGCTAGAAGAAAACAGGCTGAACAGAAAAGTTACACTGCTGAACCGGACAGGCTAAGCCATCTGGACCACTGAACCGGGCTAGTTTAACTTCCTAGATCAGTGAACCGAACAGATTAGGCACACTGGACCGCTGAACCAGGGTGAAAACTGACTGAACCGATGCAAAACTATCTAAATCGGACTACAAACACTCACTGGACCGCTGAACTTGGACCGAACTGGGATTGATTTAGTCTAGGCTGACCGGTCTAGGCTGAACCAGGGAGGCTGGACCCGATTTAATTAGGCTAGATCAGGACCGGGTTGGACCGAAATGGATCAGGTCTAGACAAGGATTTGGACCTTGTCTTCTTCGTTCGTTGATTAGGGTTTCAGAGAACCCTTGTCTTGACTACGCCTCACCACCACTACAAACAGCAGCCCACCACAATAGCCACACCACCACCACAACTCTGGCAACCCTGGTCTTCGACTGAGCCTCACCACCACGACGAATGACAGACGATAGCGAAGAATAGACGACGGTGAACGACAGATGACCACCACAACAGTACCAACACCACCGCTACACTTCGACAAACACTGACACCACAACAGTACCACCACCACCACGATGCTTCGACAAGCAATGGCACCACAACAGTACCAAAAACAGACCACCACCACGACGCTTCGACAAACACCAGCACCACCACAGTGCCACAAACAAAATTAATTTATTTAGAATATATTTATGATCGTAATCGCTCTGATACCATGTTAAGTGTGGAGAATTAACACAATATTAGAGAGAACAGAAAGAGGTTAAAAACTTAACCTAACTCTCATACATCACTTGTATTTATAATTAACCTACAATAATAAGAATTACACATACACCCTCTTACTATTAACAATTTACATATAATACCCTACTATTCTTAACAACATTGAAACATCTAATACTATAATTACCAAGGGAAGAAGGGGTCCATACTTTGGAAGATGGAGCTAGACCAAATTTAATCAGCTTAGTTGCAATCAGACCTTCTATTAGAAGCACCTACAAATGAACTAAAGAGTTTGCTTGCATAAATTATGTAAATTTATTTGTTCAAAAAACCCATTCTTATAAAATATGAATCCCTAAAATTCCTAACAATCTGGAATCTAGGAAAGCGAATGATTGGTTGATCATCACAGTCCAGATTGAAAATCCACTACAAAACAGATACTCCCGCATTAGGTTTACCCCTGCTGAATCCTATCCTAAATAGAGTCTGCAACCTGCAATTAGCATCTATTCGCCTGGCATTTGGCTCTAGGATATCATTTCTTCATCTTCATGCATCACTAAATTCCTCTAAATCCATTTCTCAAAGATGATGCTTATCACTGTAAAGGTTGTCCCCTAAGTTCATCCCTACTTGGTTTAGCAACCACAATCTACACTTGTACAACAACTACAGACACAAAAAGGGAAAAATCGAAAAGGGAAATTGTAGGTCATTAATCCGCGCGTTCGGGATGTCCTCCCTCCATAGAAGGATTATGACTGACCTGGCGTAAGGCTACGCTTTGTACCAGTAGCCTTTTTACCTCTCTACTCGTTGGGAGCCAGTCCCACATCGAAAGAGAGTCGCCTCCCCCCTCGCATATAAGCCTGGGTAGTACATGGAGGAGGTATTACCTCTCTGCCCGTTGGGAGCCAGTCCCACATCGAAAGAGAGACGTCTCCCCCCCCCTCGCATATAAGCCTGGACAGTGCATGGTACCCACTAGGGGGAGAGACGACTCTCTTCCGATGTGGGACCGGCTCCCGATGGGTAGAGAGATAAAAAGACTACTGGCACAAAGTGTAGGCTTACACTAGGTCAATCATAATCCTTCTGTGGAGGATTAATCCCCTACAGAAATGGAACGAAAAAGGAACAGGGAGATCCAGGATCAATGTAAAGTGAGCCAAAAAGGCCAACAAGAAGTGACAATGATGTTAGGATTCCAACAAATTCAATGTTAATCAAAATAACATCTCTAACAAGCATAAAAAACTATTAATCTTTTAAGATAAAGCATCAAATTCAATCCATGTCTCATTCTAGACGTAGACAAATTTCAATTCGGGCATTCGTAGAATTTCATCAAAAATGAAATATACAGAAATAATGTGGACAGGTATATACTACTATTCTGAAAACAGTTATAGCTGTAAATGAGGAAGAACTGGAAGATTAATCGAAACACTAACATACCACAACTGCCCTGATCCTTGACAGGAGTAACTGCTCCTTTCTTCCTCCAATCTACAGAAGAAGGAATGTCAGTGTCACGAACAATCCATTGAACCGATGACCCACGATTCAATCTTATCAAATCATTGGCAGCAGCTGAGAGACCCAAGTAAGAGGCCTTGAACTCATGGTGGGTAAGATCAGCAAAGGCGTTCAGAGAGAGAGTATAGGAGGAATTAGCCAGAGTGTTGTGGTGGGTAACATAGGCATAGTTGTCTTCAAACACTTTAACCCTGTACTGCTTTTCTTGCTCTGAAGAGTATGTTTTCCCATGTTCTTGACACCAACTATCAAATAGATCAGAGGTGAACGATGATAAAGATATGGGGATATGGAAAAACAGAATAAGAATCCAAACGGCCCATAGCCTACTCATTTTTGAGAGAGAGGGGGAGAGAGAGTTGGGTGTTTCTTGATTTTGGATTCCCAGGAATGTGGTCAACCAAGAAGGTAGAGAAACTTGGGCTCTCTTGATTGGAATTTGTCTGAACGTCTAGATAGTTGCGGGTTGAGTAATTATGAGCACTTATTGAGAAGCAGACACCAGATGGGTAGTAAATAGTGGAGTGGAGCTCCTCTCCTGTTAGTAGTCTAACAGCAAACTTTGCTGTTAGTGGAACGGTGCCGTTCCAAGCAATAATAAAAGAACTCGGCATCCAGCAAATGATGGCAAAACTTGAGAGTGTAATATAAATAGTGATGGCAAAACTTATCTTCTTCTTACCTTCCCCTAAAAAACTTACCCTCTGGATGGTGGATAACAAAAAAAAAAAAACACACTTTTTCCCCCTTATGTTTGTCTTCATCACAAATAAACCCCACGATTAGAAAAATTAATCTAATTTGTTTATATAATTTATTGACTTCACAACTATTGAATTAATAACAGATCTCGAAGAGTAACGAGACTCATTATCAATCTAAGTAAAAATGAGTGATTAACGCTAATTATGAAAATTAGTGGGTTGTTGCAGTTGTAATATCAGTGACACATGACTTATTAATTTGTGTATTTGACAGTACGTTTATGTGATCCGTTGGTGTACCTTTATATGGTGGGTATAGTTTTTAGGGTGAATTGCACTTTGCAATTTAAAAGATTTTAAATTTTTTATTTTATACCTTTAAAAATTAAATTTTTTATATTACGCTCTCAATGTATTAAAAGTATTATAATATTACTTTTTTGTTAACTTGCTGTTAGTGTCAATGAGTTACTTTTAACAAAAAAAAAAAACAAAAAAAAAAATTAATAGAATGGTTATATTGTAATACTTTTGATATATTGAAGGTATAATATAAAAAATTTAATCTTTAAGAGTGTATAATAAAAAATTTAAATTTTTTAAGGTATAAAATACAAAAAAACCTCTAATTTTTAGTAGATTATCCCACATATGACTCAAATGCCTCGGAGAAAGAGAAATCATTCACTGACTATTAGTTTTGGTGTGGTAAGTTTAGAATTAAACCAAATTTTATATATCTCTAAACATTTTTTTATCAGAATAGTATTATTTGAATTTAATTTTTCTATCAAAAACTATTGTTTATCTATTACTAGTGGATTCAATATTAAATTGGTCTGAGTGATTTCTCTTATAATAAATTTTGAATACCTATAATATTTGATGGGACTTTTTCTGAAATACTCCATGATGAAGACACGTGTCATCGGTATTTACCAAAACACTGTTACTAAGATCAAGCACCATCGGCGCATAAAGGTCCTCGTCCCCGAGGTACTCGTCATATAGGATCATGGCATTTCAGTACGAGTTACAACCAACACGTAACCTCGGTCCGATATGGTACCTCGGTCGGTATACCTCCCTCGGTTCCGAGATGAGCCTTTCCTCGGTGCCGAGAGGTACCCCGTCCTGGACGCTTCCTCTACTCCAGGATAAGCTATTGACGTACAGGTCATTAGCCTAGACTAGTCTAGGCTATTCATCATGACCTCGTCTTACACAATTAGTGTCAGAACATACTGAAATGCAGGGGCCACAGCCAATGGGGGATGGACGCGTGGCGTATGATGTCACGTCAAAGACACAGAAACCGCATGCCGTTGCTGACACGCGACTTGGGAAAGCAAACTTGATGAGACCGCATTCAATGCGGTAAGGCTCGGAAATGAAAAACAATAAATGCTCCTAATACAGAGCATTTATTGCATTATCCCCGAGAGAAGTACATTGTACCGTCGGCATCCCGATGACCCAGCATTGATTGCTCGGGACCCCGAGCAGTTAAGAAGAGAAAATATTCCTCATCAGAATCAGTGCGCTCACTGCCTGTACCTAATGATCACCTACTGACTACACTAACAGCAATCATGAGCTTTTGAGGTATAAATACTCATTGCAAAAGGCAAAACGGGTATGCAACAAAAAAACTCTTTACTACAATACACACTCAGTGTTTTCTCCTTCCTCTCTCTTTCTCAAAGACTGACTAGATCGTTGGAGGGGATAAGCCGGAAAACACTCCGGCGTTCTTCTAACTTGTTCTTCTTTGTTCCAAGGACCTCTTTCAGCCTTACTGGATCGTTCTTCCGCTCCCCCAGGGTCTCCCGTTGCCGTTCCAGGTTACCACCGGACCTCGCAGGCTGTTCCAAGCAGCGTGGTTGGTCACTCAACTGGCTCACTCGAGTTCACCAAGGGAGAGATCTGTTCTCGTTTTTTATATTGTGCAGGATCTTGCACGCACAATATTCAAAAATTATAAACATTTATTAAATTTAAGAAATATCAGCGAAGATTAAATCCATAACGTTCTACTCTTTAATTTGTTTAGGTTCAACCTAGCATCGTTGAATTATCCGTGTGTTAGGGGTAGAGCTGTTAGTTGAACGAGTTTGAATTGAGGTTGAACCGAGCTTGAAAAACTTATTTCTTAATTGAGCTTAAAAAATTATTCAATTTTGACTTGTTTAGGAAATGAGTTAGGCGTGAACGAGTCAAAAACAAGTCGAGTCCGAAGTTGAACCTAAGTATTTGCAGATACGCGAGTCGAGTCTGTTGAGTTTGAGCTGAGTTTATAAGACTTATAATCTAAATAAACTTAAAAAATTTATTTAAATTCAATCTTGTTTAAAAAACGAATTGAATTCAAATCAAATTCGAATAATTCAGATTGATTAACCACCGTAAAAAAAAAATAAAAAAAAAAAATGGGGTGCGTGGGGAAGGGGGGGGGGGGGGGGG